GGGGGAGGGATGGCAAAGGAGACGGAAGAAACGTAACAGCAAGAAGGAGTGCAGCAAGCGCAGTGAGAGAACCGAATTCGCAGTCTCAATTATAAGACGGCGAGTGAAAATGAATGTTTGCCGAAACCTGCTCTCGAACCCCGCTCCTCTTTCTCTCGACGACGTGCCTGCTGCTTCAGCTCTGCCATCACTCTGTCTCCCAGGTGAACTCGGCCTTGGGCACGGTAACACAAAGCGGTAAAAAAAAGATACGAGAAAAACACCCAGAACGTCCTTTGAGCTGCGCGGGTCTATTTGCTCTGGTCGCGGTCCATTAATGCCGGCACGGGCCGCGGTGCGGTGTCACCTCACCGAGGACACTGCAAAAACAATCGCCGCGGCGGCCCGAAAAAGGAGCGGGTACTTTGTTTTTCGTATTGGACTCAAGTAACTCGGTATGGTGGTATGGTGGTAATCACTTATGCTGCCAGCCCTCACCATTTATCTTTTCCCTCCCTCTTTTTATTTTGCACGCGGCGCTTCTCTAGATCCTTAAGTATGTTTGTTACGCACCGACATCTTAAAATCAGGTATTCGCAATTCGTACGTTAAACAACTCTCTTTGTGAGGAACTAACATTAGTCCAGCATTGTGGCGTAACTGTTAAATACCTGCTAAGCAATGCTTTGTAGCCTTTGCAGATGATTTACTCCATTTACTTTTTAATCTCAAAGCGTTACTTTCAGCATGTGAAGCACTGTTGCAATTGCGAAGCATCGCGCTGTTGTATTTGCAAAGTAAATGCTTCGTAGGTACAAAGGATCTAAAAATCTTTTGCAAGGCTGAAAAGCATTGCTATGCAGGAATTTAACAGTGTAGGCAACACTCGCAGGTTTTAATTGCAAGTTCCTTGAAGCAGGTTTCGTAGGGAAGGAACAAAAGGTGTGTGCTATTGGTGTGTGCAAGTGTGTTCTCACCCACACCGCGGCGGCACAGTGCGGCGCGCGAGCGAAAGTGCTCCTCACTTTTACTTACCAGTCGCTCTGACTTACTGCCTGACAGACTCAATGACGGGCCGGCGGGCCGGCCGGGCCCGCCCGCCTCGCTGCAGCCCGGCTCTCACACCCTGTTTCATCAAAAGGACCCGCGCAGGCTCTGAGCTGCTCAAAGCGTACCTGGTTACTTCTATGGTACTACCAGACCGGTAATCCACTGGCGTTAGTGCTGTTTGTGAAATTGGCAGATAAATAAACTTAGATTCACCTATCTCCTTATAGCATCGGAGAGCTTTTTGGTATTCGCAACTGATATTTGACTGTGTAACGACACTGAGAAAATAAAAGCCCTTGCTTCATCGGTGCCTGTGTCCTGTGTAAAATCAAAGCGCGTCTGAGCGTCCGACTGGGAGAGTGGGGTGAGATGGGGAGCCGCGCAGGGGCTTGGCCTCCCACACTTAGATGAGTCTCTGCTGCAAATTGAATATAGCGGTCCTGTGCGTACGCTGGCAGCGGTGCGTTGTTGTGGTGGTGTTGTGGTCGGGGCGGTGCCGGGAGAGGGGGGCCCGCTGAAGAGTGGCTTAGGGTGCAAGGCCAAGGGCAGGGTCGCCCTAGGGTGGGCCGCCCCTCCGGACCGGAGTGCTAAGCCCCGCTGGTGTCGGAGCACTTTCTTCCTAGCCTTTGCCTTCTTTCTTTTCTGTTCACCCACAAAAAAGGTTTCCTTAGTCGAAAAATTACTTTTTGAAGACTGGAATATTGTTTTGCTTTGGGCTAAGAATATTTTTTATTAGCCTGGATCAAGAAAAAAATATCTAGAAGCAGGGAATTTTTCTTGAATTTATGAACAAAAATGTTCTTGATTGAAGCGACATGTTTTTAAAGAGAGCGAAATTTCATAGATCAAGAAAAATAGATCTGTCCTGGCCCGAGACAAAATTTGTCTTTTAATTATAATTTTCTTTTCTATAGAATTTTTGGTCAGTAATTGGAATGACGTGGTGACGTGAAGGTGGGGATTGTGGTGGCCCCTTCTATTTTCACTTTCATTGCAATTAAATGACCTCACCGGAGCAAGTTTGTTAACCTCTGCCAGTACCCCGAATTTCGTTTGGACTGATCGCACCTGTCTCGAAGACTTGCTCTCCTGCATTTTTCTGCCTGCCTTCTCCGAAATCCCGCCTTAGAATCCGCTCTCGATTTGATTTTACTTTCAGTGGACGTGATACGAGCAAGCCGCATTTGGGGGGAAAAGCGCGTGAAACCTTTCGTGCGCGTGTCCGAGAACCTGCAGCTTTCACGAATTGACCCATGTAACAATCTTAAGCGTAAGAAAGAAACGTGGTGCCTTGAGATTGGGACTCTCGCGAGAGCCGACACAGGGTGTGCAGCACACACGCACACACACACACACACACACGCACTCGCAAAGGAAAAGAGCTATGAGAGGCTGCCGTGTCGTCCCAGTACGAAAGGTCCGTAAATCACACTCGTGTACACTTTGACACCTGTCCGCACGACCTCACGCGCGGATGGCGTGGCGTGGCGTAACTGTGAGGCGTAATGCTGCAGCGGCAGCAGGGCATTCTGCAGGGGTCAAGAGTAAGAGCGGTGCGGCGGTAGGTTGCCGGGGGTCCGGGAGGACTGGTGGTGCCCGGACTAGTCGTCATCACCGTAACGTCCTGGCAGGAAGGGAAGCTGACTGCAGGTGCCCGTTCGGAACGGAGAAAAATACTGCAGCTGTTTTTTTACAAGGTTTTTAAGACAGCATTAACCGCGCAGTGTAGTTAAATTGCTACAGGATTTTAAAACAAAATCGACCAGATTATGTCATTTTAGTACATTTCGCTCGAATGAAAACAGTAAAAAATTCTGTGGCCTCATTGATTACAGTAATTATTGGTCTTCCTTTCATAAATGCGACTTTTTGTACTCCCTCTCCCTTGCATGCTGGCCTTTTGGGTGTGCATAAAAGAACACCTTAGTGTGATTGCAGATATTCGTCTTTCTAAAGGGAACACCAACACCGGAAAGCAAAGATGCCACGGAGTTTTCGGTGATCTACAGAGTGAATGTAGACTACTCATTCTGTTTTGGTTGTTTATTTTTCCTCCCCGTCGTCGTCACGACACCTTACACAACCCGTCGTCCTCCTCGGTCGCGGGGGCGTTGTTGTCGTTCGGCCGCCGTCGACCTGTCGCCACGTAAGTGCAACGTCTAGAGTGGCGATCCGCTGGCGTGACGGCCGTCGAGCCGTGAGCGGGGCGTTCTTGACGTCGGAACACCTCCCCCTGTCCCGCTACACCCCACCCCACCCTACGCTTAGCGCGGACGCCGATGCACGCCCATGCGGCTAAGAGTGAAAGGATCCGATACGTGGCAACATAGACTCTGGAGGCAGGATATGGATGAATTGAAAGCTTCTACTTTAACTGACACTACTTAAAATATTTTCGCAAAAATCTTGTGATTTGATTGAATTGACAGTTATACTCGAAGCTACTCGACAATCCATGCAGCAGTTTTCTGGTAGTTTAAGTGTGCTTTTGTAAAATTTAAAATTTATGAACTTTAACTGCTAGTACAGTTAAATCAGCAGCGTTAGACCTCGGGGGGGGGGGGGGGGCGGTCGTCTAGCGAAGTGGCGGATGAGTCGAAGGAGGGCGGGACTTGGACCTGTCACAGGATGCACCAAATGCGTCCCAGGCCCGGGGCCGATTGCATCAATACACACTTCCGACCCAGTCTCCTGCGCGAACTGAAGACGGTTTTGGGTGTGCTCTGTGTTATATTCTTCCAATTTTTGAAAAAAAGGATAGGTAGCAAAATTAACAGATTTCAACCGCAAAGAAAAGTTTATGGTATTTATTTTTGGAAAATAACGGAAACAGAGACTTCTAAGGCTTGGCTCACCTACTGAGGTAAGAGGCTGGGGTGGACGTTCTTGTTAAAGATCATGTCTTTGCTTGGAAGGAGGCTCGGATGCACTTCCTCCTTGGGTTTGAACAACTGAGCAGCCTGTTCAGCCAGAATATCGTGCTCCAGCACAATTTTGTCGTGGAAGACGTTAAACTGTCCAAGCTCTTGAAGTTTCTCGAGGCTCCCGGCTGGGAGAGAGGGTTTGTCGACGATATACACCCAGGGGAGTGCGTCGAAGTCCTGCAAGGGAAGTTTCAGGAGTGAGAATTGTTGTGTGTTCGTTGTCATGGTCAACCAAACTGTGGTCCTGCTCTTACATCGGCGGCCGCTTCGACACCGGTGCTCGTGGGCGTGAAGTAGCTCTTCTTGATGGGAGTAAGCTTTAGCTCGGGGATGTCCAGGGTGCGAGCTGCGCTTAAAAACAGGGCGACTGTCTCGGGCCCCGTCAGTGCGTTGTCTACAACGGGGGACAGCTTGGGCTCCTGGTACAGGCTCTGGAGGCCGCTAGTTGGATAAAAAGATCAGATCTTTTTAGAATATATGTGCCTTAGAGACTTATTAAAATGTACTACGTCGTCAGAAACAGGGCTCAGTGGTAACTTTTTTTAACTGCCTTTCACGTTAAATATTTTGAGAGTTAAAAGCTATAACTGCTTATAACTTTTACAGTAGTCTGTTGAAAAAACTTTGGTTGCTACTCACTGTCCGAGGCGGGAGGCCAACATCTTGCCGCCAAAAATGCCGGCCAGCACCATTGGCATGTCATAGAGACCCTTAATGCCGTACTTCTCCTGGCTCAGCTGGAAGTTGATGTCGGATGCGCCTGCCAAATGAACATATCATTTTAATGTACATTATAAAAAAAAACACTTTTTTAAAAGTTATTTGTTTATACTACTATTTTCTTTGTCATACAATAAAATATGGTTGTAGCGTTTTGTTAATTGGAACCTTGCAGAAAAAAATGGAAAATTTTCGAAATTTTCGGCATGTTGAAGTAATTTCTAGTGAACCAAAAGTCCCGGTTAACAAACCATTTTGCGGGGAATCTTGAGCCTAATTATTATATAATATGCATTTAAAACCCACATTGGGATTGCTCTTTACTCTGCCACACTTTGAACTTTCGGTTACGACTTTCCGTGCGTAACACCAGTTTCGGAACCGACGGTCAGAAGGTGTTCGTGTCAAAATGTACGTATTTACATTTTCTACAAATTGATACGTATTCTCGAATTTTGTGACTAGTATAAGATGCCGAAGTTTGATGATAATTGCTCCGAAAACTTCTGTGGTTTTGTCCTAATGTTACGATGGTTTTCTTCTCATTCCTACCGTAGACGGGCACCACCCTCATGCTCAGTGAAGGGTCGTGCACGTGTTCAGACAGGGCCTTGACGGTGGTGGCTGCGGCCACACTGGCCAGGGCGAGGACTGCGATGAAGACCTTCATGGTGGATGGTGACGGGGCAGAGTGCTGCTGGTCGGCGAACGTGTCGCGCCTTATATACTGGAGACCTGTCACAACGTCCGGGGGCCACTGCGATAGAGTAATGCTTTAATCTGCTGAAACTTTTCCACCCTTGCCGATGCTTACTTTGTTATACTCGAAAAACCTCTTTATGTCGCCGAAAAACTGCACCTACGTATTCATCCCGTTTGCAAGCTGAAGCCAGACGCAAAAATAATTTTGCTCGTTTCCTCGCGTCTTTCCATGGCACTTGGCGTGCCGTCCGGTCAATGGCCGCAGCACAACATTGCCGTATCGCCGCCCCTGATGTCCCGTCGACCACCGTCTGCGAAAGGTATAAATAGAATCATAATTCGGTGATCGCTTGGGGGCGACTTAGAAAAACTATCGTCGCACTAAGCACGTTGGCATCAATGCTTCATTGCACAACCACATCTGTACAAGTATTTAGTGTTGACTGTGCGTATACCTATAAGTACCTATGCAGTAAATTGTGTGAACTTGTGCACGTCTGCAGAAAATACGGCATATCTCGCCTCGCCATGTACACACATGTTTGAGTACACTGTGAAGAATATTATGAAACGCTCATTCGCCACCCTGCAAAGGAATCGAAGGCTTTGAAGGGTACGCATCATGCCCTGTAAAATGCTTGCAAACTATATTCTTTGCGACGTTGCAATCAAATTTAAAGCTTTGTTCTGAAAAGAATTAACTCGTATTGCAAAGAAACTCTTTAAAAGAAACTGTTAGAATCCTTGCAACGTGTGTATTGTTCGCATTGCAATGTAATGTTTTTTGCAAGCTTGCAAAGAGCTAATTCGTATTGGCAATGCTTCAAAACCGTTTGCAAGGTACAAGGAAACTTATTCTTTGCTAGCATTTTGCCTTGTGCTTTGTGGACTACGATGCACCATCTCTTTATGAGATTTACGAAGGAGGTCATTTAACAGAGGATAGGATTTTTTGTGTCAGGCCAAACTAACCCCGTGTGCCAACTTTATGCTGTGTTCTTCAGCTCTGCACTGGAAAAACAAAGGTGCTATATAGCACCCTTTTTAGGGTGCTATCTATATAGCACCCTTTTTAGGGTGCTATTGAATTTTTAGGGGTGCTACTGCACTAGTGCCTTTGTAGAGCCACGATTTGTGCCAAAAATAGCACCTTTGGGGGGTAGTAGCACCTTTCTAGAGGCACTATCTTACTAACGCCTTTAAAAGGCATTAGATAGCACCTTTGTTTTTCCAGTGTGGTAAACACAGAGTCACGTGTCAGTGAAGACTCCTGATGTACGGGTGATAGGCAATTTTGGGAGGTAATGCCCCCGGTAAGTGATCATAGGTGCGCCACTATGCGGCCCCCCTGCCTGAGAACAAATCCTTGGTGCCTCCTGAGATGGCGATCTTTCCTTACGGCGGGGGGGGGGGGCAAATCCTTGGTGCCTCCTGAGATGGCGATCTTTCCTTACGGCGGGTGCGGCGCGCGGCAGGGGCGCAGGCGAGATTGCCGGGCGATGACAGGAAGCCGCGCGTGGCGTCTCCCTCCAATCTCTGCACGCGCGCTCGCGCGCAGCCTCCAGGTCCAGGGGGTTGTTGGGTCGGGTGTCCGGCGAGGTGTGAGCGTACTCTATGGGACAGGATGGCTCGGAGGCGTTACGCGCGCGCAGGCTCGCACGCATGTGTAGGGAAAGCCCACGAGCAAAGTGCGAGCGGGCTGTATATCGCCTCACTTTAAATTATAGCTACAGCCAGTCAGATGAACAAGGGAGACAGAGAGAGAGAGGGAGGGGGTGAGAGAG